AAAGTTGTGTCGTCACGGAGGCGGTTCCAATTTGTGCTTCACGGACTGTCTCAAGTTGTCTTGCTCTCACAAGGATTTTGTACCATGTGACATGGTGACGCGTGGTGACGTTTTGGAACATTTCTTTGCCGACTTCGCTATCATGCGATGTGTATGAAGTGTGTGGACTGTAAAGCACAGTGTCCATTGAGAAAATGTATACAATGTAATGTTTTTAAAGTAGATGCATCTGACTGGTTGCATTTGAATTGAGGCGCGTAATGAATAATGATACTGTCCTGTGAGGATGTGCTGTTTTCTGTTTTTTTCCCCATGCCATCGAGACCACTATGTCCGAGACCAAGACAAGACCGAGACCAAATAGGGTCGAGACCAAGACAAGACCGAGACCAAATAAAGTCGAGACCAAGACAAGACCGGGATCACAAAAAATTGGTCTCAAGACCGGTCTTGAACTACAGCACTACAACAGCGATACAGTGCCAGGCTGTCTGCAATCTTGAATTTACATACTTCTAGCACCAACACACCAGGCAACCACATTCTTTGATTCCATGCCTGGGGTGGCACTGTTGAGCAAAGCTGTTCTGAAAAGTCATGTTTATGAAGTATGGAATGGATGATATAAGAATAAATAAGAGTTTAATTAATGCTAAACCATGTACTTTTAATAACCATGCAAATTTCAAATTAAAGTAAACAATAATATAAAAACGAAATAAAAAAAATCGGAATAATAACACTGAACTAAATACATACAGGTGTTGCAGTACAAACATATTTTTTTCTAGTTTGTAGTCATCTGAGAGTCTATGTAATCCTGTAGTGAGGAATAATATCAATGCAGGTATTTCCGGACTGCCTCCATCAGCTTCAAATCTGCTTTCCATTTTTGTTAATGCTCTGATCACAAAGGGTAGAAAAGCTGTTTATATACAGTCATTGATCTGACTCCTTTCTGAGTTCCTGCTACTTTTCCCCTGACCAATGAACAATCAAGGTTCACTTATATCACTGAATGGAGCCTCTGTGTTGTAATAATTTTCTAATGTTCCGTACAAGGTAACCCTATGCAGCATGCAATGCTGCCCCATGACACGATCATTGTGCAGACTTTAGGGTGCTTTTCAACTGCACAATGTACTGAACTTTTGGTAACTGAAAACAGTACCAAAGTGAACGGTACCGCTTGTGTCCATTTTCAACTGCCATGAAAAACAAGTACCAGCCCAGAATGACATCATCACAAAGTGAGGTGGGTAGTGAACAAAAAAATGATACTATATTATACGGCTGAGCAATGTCTGATATTAATATCTACATTGCATGTTATGCACATACAATTCTCACATTGCAAGGAGCAAGATAGCTGGGTTGAAATCAGGCTTTTGTCATGTCTCCTTACTGTCCAAATGTTAATGGTAAATGGTATTTTCAAAAACAGCATTATTTTGCAATACAGTTCTGTATTTTGACCATTTTCAGTCCGTCACAGGAAACAAAACATACAAGCTTTGCAATTTTAATAAGATACATCATACATTTTTAAAAAAATCTGTTTAAAGTATACTGCCAGTCACAATAATTTTCATCCTTGCTGTTTAAATCCCTCATATGCCTTGTTTCCGGAAACACGATGCTGGTGCTGGGCTGGTTCTCGCTTGGTGCCTATTGTAAACCTGCCTGAGTAAATGGAATGGAAATGTTGCACAGGCAGAAGTGAGAGTAAAGTAAAGATTCATATGAATTCTGTTTTTTTTATATCTGTTTTGGATTTTTTGGTTGTTATATGCTGCAGAACCAAAAAAAATGAGCCTTTAAGAGTATGACTAGTTGCGCTCGGTCTATATTGCCTATATCCACTTTTGTCTCCTTAAATACTCCATTTCTCTCGCTCACTGTTTTAATGCTGTCCTTTTTAAGGATCGCACAATAAAAGTGTCTGCTAAATACTGAACTTTGTTGTCCTCCTCAAGATCTTTTTGCCACTCGAGCGCCACAATATTTTAATTATTCGACCTCTGACATGTTTATAATTTATTATTGAATCTGGCCAGTGGATCCTGTCAATTTCCACAGAATAAAAAAAAACAAAGTAACATTATTATGTTATTAAGCTGGCAAGTTGTGTCACTGCCAGCACTGGCGATACTAGACAAAAGTATGTCAGTTATGGATTGAATTTTCTGGGTATGCAGAACATTTGGATGTGATAGCCCATTCTACATTTGCTGATGTTACAGTTCCCAATTCTGAGACCAGCTTTTCTGTGGTGTGGTGCTGGAGCCAGTTTTTTCTGCCCAGGGCCAGGTTTTTGGTATGGAAACTCCTGGCACCACATTGGATGGGTTTCCCAGAAATGTAATTATTTTATTTAACTTTTAATTTAATTAAAAAATCTGAAAAGTTTTCAATATTATGCATCGCAGTATATCACAGCAAATACTTTTTATTTTTGTAATGCCAAGCCAGTCTCATCAAGTCTATTCTTGGGTTTGGTAATTTGTGCAGCGGAAAAGCTCCATTAGGGGATTCAAAGGATCTGCTGATGACATCTTGGTGCCAAATATCATAAGACACCTTCAGAAGTCTTGTATCTATGCTTTGGCGGATCACAGCTATTTTGGCGGTATACAGACCTTCATTTGATGATTCATCAGCAAATTCAAAAAGTGTTTTCCCTTTATTGCTCTCTTCATAAAAAGATTCCCACCTCTCAGCTATCTCCTAAGTGAGACAAACCTTCCCTGACAATAGGCAGTTTCCCACCATTGCCAGGAGTTACAAAAGTTCCCAGTCGAGAATTTGAAGTCAGAAACCAGGTTCTGGAACTTGTGAAAGTGGAGTGAAAGTGACCTATTTCAGGAACCAGTAAATGTTGTCGCCTTTCCACTGCTGGAACTTGACTTTACTGTAGTTCCTTGGAGGTAGTTCCTGAACTGTTTTTTAGTTCCTACTCTAGAGTAGATACTTCTCACTCGACCAAGAAATATTGGGAAAAATTGGGTAGTATCACTGGTACTAGAGGTGAAACTTGCCAGCGCTTATTAGCGAAATAACATTACATAATTTTTTTTATTCTATAGAAAATGAAAGATTGATCTCCTAACTGTTAAACCGAGCTGGTGAAAGAGGCACAGATCCAGTAATGCGGGGTAAGCTGATCCTTTAATGAAGCTGACAGGTAAGCACGGGTGTTCAGCAATAACACAGAGCCCCGAAGGGAAAGCGCCGCCATCCAGAAGAGCGGGGCGGCTGCACCCAGTGAACCGGCTTCTCTAGAGATGTCACTTGGGCAAACAGGTTTGAAATCGATAGGCATGGATCGTCGTCGTAGTACGGGTGCGTGGGTCGTCAGCCAGAGGGTCAGTCCAACGGAGAAACACAGGACTGGAGCACAAGAGGAGAGGAGGACAGGAGGTACTGGACTCGGCAGGGCAGGACGATCAGGATCGGGACTGAGGAGGGTAGGCACAAAAGGCGAGGGCTCAACAAAAGGCAAATAGGTAAGGTACGGGAAAGCAGGGAGACGGAAGACGAAAAAACGCTCGGTATGGCTTCTTTGCATCGGCTCAATACTTCGCGAGTAGAAGGTGGCTGAGCTCTTCTTTTAAGGATTAGGAGGAACATTTTTGTACCATTGGGGGTACATTAGTATTATTTGCACCTTGGGGATGTTCCTTAGAGTCAATTTATGTACTTTAAAAGGTACACTTACCTAAAGCTAAGGGCACAACTGGCATACCTTTGAGGGTATGGCCCCAGTGACAAAGGTACAAATTCCCAAGTAGCATTCCCACATGGGCCCCATATGGGCTCCATATGGGCCAAAAATCAAAATCTGCACCCAAGAATCATATTGGCTCCATGTGGGCCAGCCCAGAAACCCCAAATGGGTTCGGTATGGGTTATTGCTGGGCCCCACATGGGCCACATTACCTGGGCACAATGTGGGCAAATGACGTGGGATTTATCTGGGTCCCATATGGGCCACATTACCTGGGCACAATGTGGGCCAGCCCATATGGGCAAAGATGTGGGATTTGTCTGGGATATGCAAAATCAACAATCAAATTTTGCATTTTGCATACTTAAAGAACATATTACGTTTTACAAGTGAAAGTAATCCAGAAAATGTGGTTAGTGTTTTCACAATCCTGCTAATTTAAACCGCGGCATCCATAGTACAGTAGCTGGTATTTGGAATGATCGCTACTGGATTATATTAAGATCATTTACACATGGTAACTAAATTAAATTGAGCAAACAGTGATGAGTTTTTCAGGTAAACTGTAAAATAACTTAAACTGATAAGTTAAACTGTGGCTGAACCAAAAGTAAAGAAGCAGATAGGCCTAAAATCAGTTTTATGCAATATTTATTTAAGGAAAATCACACACTGAAATCACAATTAAATAAAACATCAGTTTACATTTATTTTACAAATTAAAAAATCCTCTTAGTCCACCAATTCCACTCTCCTCTGTTTGGAAGGGCCACTCTCCTGCTCTTCCTCTTTTCTGCGTCTCTTCTTCCACCTTTTAAATCACGTGCATTGTAGAGGAATGAGGTAATGCTTCCTTTCACCTCATCTTTTGTAGCCTCTTTCGTTTTTGAATTTTGCCGCACAGAACCTGGAAAAAAGGTGAGGAATAATCTAATTAAATTTGTGCATTCCATTTGGCAGTAAGTGATATTTTATCTGTTTATCTAAAAACAATCAAATTACTATATCAGTCAATCCCAAAGTACAAGTTTAAAATTACCAACCTAAAAATACAATAATATCTGCATTTCTATTGTACTGGGAGCAGCAGAGCATAAAAAAAATAAAACTGAAAAAAAAACTAATGTTAAATATATTACCACTTCTCAATTTATTTAAAACTTTGCCAGACTGCCAATTAATTTACCGCGATGTACGTAAAGTTGAACCCTCCTTCCTCTTCCTCAGTCCCCCCCGTAATTTACGCCCATGCTTCTACGCATCTCTATGGTGTTTCTTTGCAAACAGGTTTCGGCTTTTAAAACACCCCTCCCCCCGGCCCGTTAAGGTGAAAGACGAGAGACGCTAAAGCAAGGCGCCGGGAAAATGCTTGATACATGCAGTATGTCCATCATATGCATTTAAAAAGGACGTCCTGAAATAATTATCAAAAAGGAACTAGATTACATTGGCAAATAACATTTGTTCTCCCGCTGAATTGAGTTCTAATTTAATAATCATCATTTTACATGATGTTACGAAAAAATGGTTACAAATGTTTTAAACTGATCTGACTACAATATTGTACTTTATACTTTAACATCTATCACAGTATAGATTAAACGGCGTTTTAATACATATATATATACACACACACACAATGGCGGTCATATACATTAAACAATGTTGTAAATTTAAAATAAAGCGTATGCTCACAAAGCATTTGAGTTGGAAACTGTAGTTAAAAATATAAGAAAACGTTCGGACGCATGCAAATTGATATAATTCTCTGTTTATAATGTATTTTTCAATCAAACAATCAACTAAAATTACTTACCTAAAACGCACCGGGAAAGTTTTCAAATTCTGCGGAGTTTTTCGGGTGGACTTCCGGTGAAATAGCCGTTGGAATGTATCGCGCATGCGCAGTACAGCTCTAGCCCGCCAGGCCTTTTCAAAAGGTGCCTGTTTTCTGACTGATTGTTTGATGACTTGTTTGATGAATCTGTATGTATGTGGTCTTCAAGTATGTTATTTTTAAAATGTATTCACTCCTATTTTATTATGATGTTTATCAAAAAAAAAAGTTATTTAAGATTAGATGTAATTATCAGCTAAAACACAGATCTTATCAAAAGCTGTAGCCTATATTATAATGCGCCCTGGCGGGGGAAGGGGGAGCAGTCACAATGACGTGTGACTGCACATTCACAAGGGGGCTGGGGGGGCAGTCACAATGACGTTTGGCTGCCAAGGGCCCTTGAATTGTGGTGGTTGTGGTGGTGGTGGTGGGGGGGGCCCTCGCAAACGTTTTGCCCAGGGGCCCACACAACCCATAATCCATCCCTGCCTATCACCCACTTTCAAAGTAGTCTGACATGCCTTGACATTTTACAGTTTTCCTGAATTGCTAAAACACATTTCCTAAAATCTCCTCTATAAGCACAAACCCTAAAATTCAAGCTAAACTCACAATACCTTACACTCGTCTTGCAAAATCAAACAATCTTATGAAAACTATTATCTTTGCTCAAAAGCAAACACTGCTTTCAGATCACACATCAAGCCAGTTGGTTAAATTAACACTAATGAACATGGTCATTACACACTACAGCAAAAAACTGAAAACACTATAAAAGTCAAATATTTGTATATAAGTCAAAACTGTTGCTGGCATGTAAATTAGAAACTGCAAGACTATAGTAAAAAAAAGTATGGTCGTCTACCAAAAATATTTGTATACTGTACATTTATGACTGCAAAAACATGATAACTAATATATAACATTAATTGCTGTATTCCAAAAAAGTTACTGTAAAGGACAAAGCCAAAAAGTAAAGCACAGTACAGAACCATATGTTTTTTTTTCATTTTCCACTCTGTCCACCTTTATTCTCCACAATCTTATCAGGACTAGGTATAAATAAATCAATTCCTGGTGTGAACTTTTCAAGATCGCATTCCGGAGCTCAACATTTGGGATGTTAATTCTCGTGTAATAATTTTGGCCCTGGGGGTTTCAAATTTCCACTCAGAAACTAAATATTAATATTAAGAATTAAACAATTGTATGTGTGTTCAGAACAATTATAACAGCAGTAATTTTTTTGACAAAATCTCTGTTACCCATATCGCGTTCAGTGCACATTTCACCCATATGGGTTTGCCCAGATCCTGCCCATATAGTACCCATATCGTTCAGCTACAGGTACCCTTTTTTTTTAGAGTATTCCATGTAATTTATAAAGTATACACACTTAAGCGTGAAAGTAATTGAAATCACAATTTCCATGTTCACTGTATTTTGCCAGTAACATTGTTTAAATTCTCTCCCTATGGGAATGACAATGAAACTAATAAAAAATAAGTCATGTTCAGTTGACCCAAACACCTACATTGAAAACTAAACTGTTTGTTTTAAAGACCAAGATATTCTGCTAAGTACCTTTCAATAGATATAATTAGCAAGCAACTCAATGTATAGAAACATTCTGCTACACTCTTAAAATAAAAGGCTCCATATTGAACCTTTAAGGGTTCTATAGCTTGGTACATATATTACACCTTCAAAGGTTCTATATAGAACCATTATAGAGGGTTTAATTAAAAGAAATAGCACCTTTTTGAAGGCAATGGTTCTATTTACTCTGGTTAGAACCCCTATAGTTCTATATAGCACCCCCCAAGAACCCTTTTTTCTAAATATATACTGCATCAAAGCTTTTTGACTTTGTCAGGAATCTCTATT